ATTTCTACATCATTCTGGTTTTATTCAACTAATTCCAATTATTTGTTTTAGTCTTTTATATCATGTCATCTTTCTCCTTTCAAATGTCATTTTCGCAAATATACCCCTGCTATTTTTTTCTGAAAGATCGTGTTTGTCTCTTTTACTCTTTATTCTGCCATGTTGATCATTAGTATCTCTTTCTACAATTATCGACATCTGTGACAGTCTTTCCAGAGAAACAAAATCTCCACAAGAGTCTAAAGTGATACCTTTAAAGTGTAATTGATTCGGTATGTGATCATTTGCATCAGGTGCTGAATTTTAGAACTCTCATCTGCATGATTGCTATGGATGGACATTAAGACGAATCTTCGTAACAATTAAAAGTTTAATGACTGACTATTGTGTTGACGTGCATCATTGGCTGACGTCATTATATTTCCTGATTTAGTTTTTAAAGATAATAGTTACATTGTCGAAGATTGCAGTTTCAATAAAAGAAGAGAATTCTGTATTCTTTTATAGTTTTGGAAACTCTCTCTGTCTTGATATGCATTAGATTTTTTATACTAACGTTAACAGAATACTAGGAATGAAAGTCACTGAAGGAATGGAGTTACTGTTAAAATGGTTATGATGAATGGTTATACTGAACTATTAAGCGACATCTGTCCTTCTTTACGGCAACGAATGTTGGACGATTTCCTCAACGATGAAGAAGAGACTCGAGGCGACAGAGATGTGGTTCTACAGAAGGATGCTAAGGATATCATGGACCGAAAGTGTGAGCAACAATGAGATCGTAGAGAGGTTGAAAACAAGGAGGATGTTTATACTTAACATCAGGAAGAGGCAGCTGAAGTTTCTGGGACACATAATAAGGAAGGAGGGCCTGGAGAATCTGATATTCACGGATCGAATAGAAGAAAAGAGAGACAAGGGAAAACAACGCGTTACATACCTACCGGACTTTAGCAAGTGGATGACAGAACGTAGTGTGGAGGGGGAAACAGAGGAAAAAAACTTGTTAAGATCTGCAAAGGAGGTGGAGAGCCATGATTCCCTACGTCCTGAAATATATAATATATATAATCATTATATTATATACATATATAATCATATATATATATATAATCATTATATATTATATATAATATATATAATCATTATATATTATATATATATAATCATATATAATATATATATAACCATTATATATATATATATATATATATATATATATATATATATATATATATATATATATAATCATTGCTCTCACGATGTCTTCCTAACTTTAATACCCTTACTATCAGTCTTAATTTACTATCCAACTCAGGCTATTTTCTAGCACCCCCATCTACACAAGCACGTTAGGGTAGGTGATACTTCGTCTGTCTCTCTTGCCTTCAATATGTCGTGCGAATATCACATTCCCCTCAAGGGTCTCATTCTTCATTATGGATCCCAGTAATTTCAAATGAAGCCAGCGGGGAAAATATTGGTACCAGTCGAGTAAATGGTAGAAGGAGAGCATGTAAAGTTTGCTTACTATGCAAGACTCAGATATAAGTTTTTGAGGATAAAGAGGTTAGATAACGACTGAGCTTTGATTTGAAGGTGGTTAATTTTGTAATATTCAGAGCAGCATCCACGCGGATGTCTGTTCAAGAAATTGTCAGGTTTTGGGAGGAAGATGTCTGAGTGAAATACGAAAGAAATGAGGATGATTCGACTCCGTGGAGGTAGAATGGCGTACCTTATCAGGCTTGGTTTGGTGAACGTAAAAAGTGGAAGTCTCCAAAAGATGAATCCAAAAAGTGGAAAAGCTCGAAATGGTGAACCTAAACGTGGACGACCCGAAATGATGAAGATAAAGAATGGATTTCATTGAATATTTGCTGAAAAATAGTGAGAGTTGCGATAGGCTTGAATTATTGCATCTTTGGGAAAGAGATCGCAGAGGGGGGAAAAATCTTGCCTGACATATAGATTCCGTGTAATTGTTTCATTGATGTGATTAATAACCGTTTGTTGAATAATAATCAACGGATTAGTACCAAAACGTTACTAGTACATACACCTTACTCGCTTCTTATTAATATACTGTTATGGTCCGGTTCCTTGTACCACGGTGATAGTCCAAAGTAGAACCAATAAAGAAGAACTCGAATACGGATATGGAATAACACAGATATATTACAAACGGAATATATACAGAGAAGTAGAAAGTGTTAGTACAAACAATCAGGTTTAGTAGTGATTGTCTGAACGCGACTCTGTTCGGACTGCCTCTGACTCGACTGACTGACTGATTGAATGACAGACTCCTGACTGACTTCACTCCAGACTTCAGACTGAACTCCCTGCTTCCTCTTGAAGGCACAGTATTTATTACGTATGGAATAGTCCATTATGTTATTATGGGTAAGGTCCCGTAACATATACATATTGTTTTTTTTTTAACCATTTGCATTTGAGAGCCTTCGCAAGAAATCAAAAAGCAACAAGTATCCTCAATATGTCAGCATTGTCCATACTCTTCTGCTTGACATTCAGGACCATTTCTTTCGGTATAAGAAATTCATTAGTTCTTACGATTTCCAGTACTTACATTCTCTCAGCAGGATTTGTCATGACAATTCCAAGGACACCGATAATGATGAGTAAAATTGCCACATTAATATTCCGTTTATAACCGTTTTTTTTCCAGCGAGATCATCCATAGTCTGAGAGATCTTTATCACAAAGACGAAGCTTGATATTCTGGCGAGGATTGTGTGGTTTCTTATCTCTTAAATGTTCTTTTCCATCAGTTTATTTACCATCAGTTTGTTCTTTTGGTTTATATTGTCAAATATCATTTGTAAAATTCTTACTGTTTCACCGTTTCGATTTAATTTTATTTTTTTAATTTTATTCTCAGTAAATGACAAGTAATTGAAATTTATATAATTTATATAACATTTGTAACTTTAGTATTAAAAAGAATGTCTACAGTTATTGTCAAAATCTCTCGGGAAAAAGGTATTTCTGAATAAAATAAAAAAATATTTCATAAAATATTTCTCTCATTCTAAATCATTTTAAACTAAACGTAAAATTGCTAACTTTACAATTAATACTTTTATCTGTCATCAGAGAGAAGCCATTTGTCGGTTTTTACTCACTCTGACTTTGTAGGTTCTTCTAAAATATATTTATTTTGCGTTGATATTACCAAGAATCCTTTATTACTTTACACATATTTCTGGTTGGCATGTCTTTTATTTTTTTTTCATTGTTTTTATGGAGACTTCCTTTCAGCAGTTATTATGCATGAATGATATAAAATTTATTCATATTTGTGAAATTCACTTTATTGAAAACATGAGTTATTCAAAATCAGTTATAATATTTATGTATATTTTTTTGTTTTTTTTTTCAGGTAAGTGTTCATTGCCGATCAGATTTGGTTGCTTGGTTTCTTTTTAAAGTCGACTTCAGGTAAGAAAAAGTGCATTATTGTTGTTCATTTTCCACCTGAAGACAAAGCGCTGAACGACTTTTTTAATCCTGCTATGCGACACACACAGTTTGTTTCATTGCCTTCATTTTTGTTGATTATTGAACTAATTAACTAAAACCGAACTCATTAACACACATATATATATATATATATATATATATATATATATAAATATATATATATATATATATATATATATATATATAATTTTTGTAACAAGATTTCTCGAATATGCAAATATAAAACAGTGCATCCAATCCAATGTGAGTATCCATTAAAATAATGTTTAAACAAATAATTCATTTTGTGTGTGTGTGTGTGTATATATATATATATATATATATATATATATATGAGTGGATGAACAGATGAAGTAAAATTCCGCTGTTCGTAGCATTTACTTTTAAAGAAGTGCTCACTAGAAAGTAAAGGAATATATTATTATTTTATTATGTTGTGACCAAGTAAATGGTTAAGCAATAACAAAAACAGGTTTGGAGATATACCGTATATTAAACAGTAAGTACACCAGGAGATTATTACACGACTAGTGAGAATGTATTGAATGAACTTGCGCTCAATCCATTCACTGTTCCCAGAAGCCTTCTGTCCTTCGTCAGGCCGATTGCGCCTAGCATGAAATAGCATGTCGCCTCTGAGTTTTGACTTCAATGTTCACTTATATATATATATATATATATATATATATATATATATATATATATATACACACACACACACACACACACACACACACATATATATATATATATATATATATATATATATATATATATATATATAGTTTTATATTATAGTTTTTGTCATTTCTTTTCCGTATCTGCTCTCAGTACTGTGTCATCTGCGTATCTTATGCTGTTTAATAGTAATCTTTAACGGAGATTTTTCTGTGTCGCCAGGAATAGCCACTGACTGTACCTATTTTATAAATGAATGCAGTACATCCTGTTTTACGTATTTCCTGTGACTAGACGAATACATGTTTTAAATGATTTCTCTTCATAACTAAAAACAGATGGCAAGTAGGCAAATATTGAACAAAATGCTCAGAACGAATTAAAACCAAAGGCAAGGGTAGAAGATATAAAAGGAATTGAAATAAATGTACCTAACACCATGGTTTTTATAGCTTTATGTCAAACTGTTCTGACAGCAGTTTGCCGAAGTTTACTTGGAATTAATTGTATTTTCTTTTATTCGAGACGAATTTGCTCTTGGAGTGATGTAGCAACATCTGAGGATTTCATTTGATACCGAATCCTCCAAGAATGTTCAAGAATGAGAGATGATCTGATTGATATCTGCAAACAAAGTAGTTGGTTAAATTGGTATTTTTATTCTGTGAATTTCAGGTGCTTCGGAACATTCAAAGAGTTTACTTCAAACGGAAAGGGACAAGATAGAGAATAAAGAATCTCATTATAAAACAAGAACTAAAAGCATAAAAGAAAACTGATAAAATATAAATATAAACACAACTACAAGGAGA